AATAGCATATTTTTGCTCATCACCGTCATTAAGTGGTGATAATACTTAAAACTCTACTTATTAGTTATTACTATTAAATGAACTTAAATTTTGAAATTTATATCTATCTATTATACATATTTTAAAATTCAAATTTATCTAATAATAATAAATAAGATGGTAAATATCACCATCACTTGACGGAAAGAAAAAATATCTCCTAAACAAAAAAGAAAAAAGTGAGAGGGAGACGGGAAAGGAACAAATAAAATAACATTATTTGTCACCTGGTCTAGCTTCTGCCACGTCTCGTAAACCCTAGCAGTTTACACGTGCATGCACTGATTAGGAAAGAAAAGCTGATCTGATTATTTTAATCATAGATCATATTCCCTTAAATTCACGATGCTTACCAACTTGGAAATTGCTCCCTCAAGCACACCAAAGATGGTTGCTTAAAATAATGACTTAGATAGATCAAGACATACTCTTCTTCTAATATAAAACAAAACCCTAAACCCTTTAGTTGTCCAAATATGGTAATGCAGATTGCAGAGAGGCTATCTTGTTTCCTAAATTGTATACTTAATCAAATAAAAAACAAAGCACTTGATTTGATGATTAGATGCTTGGATGATAATTAATCCTATGATATACTAGATCCAGAAGTTTTTTTTTAATTATTTTAAGTCACAGATGTTGGAAATGAGGCAGCTGTTAGAGACTTCGATGAATACTGTTCTCAAAAGTATAGCTTTAGCAATATAATTATGGTCACGAATCTATTGGTTCCAACTATGTGTTTCCTTGATATTTTTTCAACTATTGTCTTCAACTAAACACTGTTAAATTTTATCACGTTACCCCCTGAGTCACTTTCTCATTTTCGGCAATTCCGTACAATGATCTGTTAAGTCTTTGACTGGTTACTTTTTCATTTTCCAGCAGCTTCGTCAAACAATCCGTTATGTCTTTGGTCAAATCTGTACTAAGATGCATAGATATTATTACTTTTCACCATTGTGATAAAGCATCATTTACGTGCAAACTATTTTAAAGTTTTTTTTTTTTTGAATAAACAATATTATCTGCATTAAGAAAAAGGGGAGTATAGTTTAACTTCACAATATGCCTAACAATAATATGATTAAAATTCATTTTTAGCAAGAATCAAACTTAAGCAGTAAGGGGAATATCACATTGCACTATATCTTAGTAATAAGCAGTAAATTATTAAAATTCACTTTAAAGCAAAATAAAACATTTCCAACGAAAATTAGAAATTTTTTTTTTAAAAGAATTACAATTTGTTCACATCTTTGACCTTCCGTCACCGTAACCCCGCCCTACCTACCCCAGCGACCCCACTGCTCTAATCCAAACCACCACCCCCTTGGCCCATCCGCCCAATCCTCTGTAATCACCTTCATCCTTGATCACATTGCACTCCGGCCACCCATAATTTCCTCTCCCGGGTCGTTTCTGACCTGAATTAGAGGATCGAAACCACACAAAACTTGACTGACCGAATTGGGAATTTTGAAGCTTTCATGGAAATTTGGTTTGAGTTTGGTGACAGGATTTGGGTGGATTATTGGTTTGAGGAAGAAGGGAGGTGAGGTGCGATGGGTGGGGTTACTGTAGGGGAAGAAGCCAGGAGGAGGAGTTTGGATTTTTAAGGCTTATTTTTTGTTTTAAATTTCTTGAAATTGATTAGTAATGTATTTAATATAATATTTTTTAAACAAATAATATCATCTACACTAAAGAAGAAGACGGATTTAATCTCATAATAGATTGACAGTAATTTATTTAAATATTAAATACCTGAAAATGACCTATCAATATTAGGTTTGTCCCATTTATACCAAGTCAGAGACAACTTTTTTGACCGTATTGACGAAAAATAGTAAAGTGGCTCAAAAATTGACATAAGCTACGTTGACTGAGTGAGATTGAAGTTTGACTTTCAAGAGCCATTGCAACAAATATATAAGTCTGAAAAAAATAAATTGAACATGTCAAAGCTCCACACCACCAACTCAGCCGCAATAACGACACTACTCGTCGCTGCCATTGACAAGTCTCCTCTGTCTATCCAACCTTGTCAATGAAAAAAATAAATAGCTATTATTCAATTGGATTCCAAATTTCCAATCGTGGACTATTTAAATTGGAGACAATTCGATTCGTCGAATTCGATTTATTACGATTGATTCGATTTGCTGACTCCGATTTAGTATGACTGGTTCAATTTGTCGATTCCAATTTAGTTTGATTAGATTCTTCTCCTCCGGATCAATTCGATTAAGTGACCATTAATTACTAAAAAAAAAGGAATCAATGTGTATTCTTGTCAGCGACTTGATCTGGTGCAGGAGGAAATAATGCTTGGTGATGGCGAGTGGGGTGGTTGTTGCGGCTGATGTTGTGGATCGTGGCTAAGGAAGGAGATCATGGAATGGTGTGGGGGATGGAGAAGGTCACGCCTCACGAGTGGTGCTGGGTTTGTTCTGTTGTGTTAAAATGTTGATTTTTTTATTTTTTATTATATATTAAAAGTTAACCTGTGTTAATTATTGAGTTAAGTAAATAGACACACGTCAAGTAATTACAGAGAAAACATAAAAGAGATACTAAAATGAGGACAACAATCTCATGACCATAATATTATCATTTTTAATGAAGTGTACGTGCTAAGTGCCACATAAATTTGACAAAAATAATTCCGAATTGGAAATTCAACAGGATTTTTTTTATTAGTTGAGTTAACTGCATCCCAAGATCTCTTAAGTGTGGAAACCTAACAAGTTTGTGAGATAGATATAGATAATTATAAATAATAATCAATAGATTAAATTAATTAACATGGTAGTTGTACAATTTAAGAAACCGTTGGATTAGTTGTAGTGATGGTTTCCTAATTAAGGCGTACTGTTTAGGTGCGGAATTTTTTTGTCTTATGCTTAAGAATATGCTAAAGAGGTCATTTAGTACTACAGTATAGTGATATTCTTCTTCAGCTGTAAATGAGAGATCTTAGATTCAATTCTCGCCAAAGACTAATTTGAACCATATTATTGCTAGCTCACGCCTTCTACCCCCAGTGTAAATATATAATATCGTTTGTTAAAAAAAAAAAATGTTAAGGGGGTCATATCTTCTAACAACATTATGTTAATTAGGAAGCTGTTTTTAGCTTTCAACTTTCCTCCTGATATTCTTTCAGTTTTACGGAATAAATGTTGCTTAATTTATTGGCCTTTTCCTCCATGTAACCGAAAGCGAAAGTTATGACCAAACCATATTAGACAACTATCAACCTCAAAATTTACGTCGTCAACAAATGTACGAAGCAATATATATCAAACATAGGATAATACACATAGATAACAATGTCATGTAATAGGCTAATGTGGTTAGAAAATGTTACGATCCTTTTCACCTTTTTCTAAAGGTTAGTCTAGAATAACTAGTGAATTATTGCATCGACTAAGAGAGGAGATTCAGTAGGACAACAGAATTAGAATAACGCTCTCGCTAAGTAAATATCATGTGTAATGATTCGGTACAATCAAAATACAAGAGGGTATCATTCTTTCGTTAAAATGACATGGTCGGGCATCCTATGCAAAGTTTGCTCATGTAGTAGGCAGGTCATAAATAAGGATGTCGAATAGCCATCAGTGTTTGGCCCCCGACATTGCTGTAGAGTCGTAGACACGTACAGTAGCACAAAACAAGCAGGAATAGCGCAAACACATGCAATGGCAGCAGATACAGCATCAAATTACAAAGGGCTTTCGAGAGACTGTATCAGGCGCACCAACACTACAACCTCTGACACGCACACTCACTAACAAAACAAAATAAATGCTGTTAAGTGGACCAGCATACCATTCTCTCGCACTTTAGTTCTCGTGGCTCACACACACCCACCCACAAGAAAGAAGAAGAGCAAAAGAAACGAAAAATATATTATGTATAGCCTTGTGTAATTCAAGTAATATATTATGTATTGTAGAACGTATTCGGTGAAAACTAATGACACATATTTGAGTAAGAGTAAACTGTTGTTTGACGCTTCGAACTATTATTCTAGTCGAAATTGATCCATAAATTATTTTTTAGGTTAATTAACTTTTTAAATTATTTGAAATTAGCCAATTAACTCCTCACCGTTAGATACAATGAAATTTCATCTACTTAATTTGCCTTCACATACTGGTATGTGACCAATACGTGATATATTCTTAAGGGTAAAGTTGTGCCAGCAATTGACGGCAAAGTGGATAAATTTCATCAAATTTGACGGTGAGAGGTTAATTAACGAATTTCAAATAGTTCAAAGAGTTAATTTAGCAAAAAAGTAGTTTAGAGGGTCAAACGGCTGTTTATCCTTTGAAATTATAAACACAACTATTATATTGACAGAAGAGAATAAATCTTAGAACCTCGGTGTAAAAGTGAACGAGTAAATGTTCTTAACCAACCTTGTTTCAAAGTATTCATATTTTTATTTCTTCTCGTTTTGTTTTTATAGAATCAATACCAAAAGAGAAGAAAATCAAACATAGTACAACAAACACAAAATCTTAACCGCTTGACATACAAGCTTTTTTTATCTTTTCTTTCTTTTAATTATCTTTAGCAAAACCCTTTTAAACTCTGATTACCCTTTAGCTAAACCCTTGTTTTAGAGCCTGTCTAATCGGGTCTTTGAGTCGGCTAATCAAATCTCGAACTGTTTTTGGGGATTTAAGCTGAGAACTTGAGGTTGCAGGAAGATTCCAGGCAGACAGTGTACCGTCAAGTCTAACATTTCTTTTCTCTCTCCCTCTCTCTGTCTTACACATAAAACACATTAATTTGGTGGAGGTTTAGGGTTTCAGAGAGCAATAATTAGGAACTGGACCAGGGTGTGCAGGCTGTGGAGAGGACTAACGTGTGCCTGTCGGCTCTTCTGCAAAAAGCAGTACTCTCTCTCTCTCTCTCTCTCTCTCTCTCTCTCTCTCCGAGTGTATTCATCACTCATATTTTGAGTACAAACCAAACCACCTGTTCCTGTTTCTCAAATAGATTTCAGGGGTTTGGATGGGTAGTAGGAAACAGAAACCACTTTCTCACTTCCAAGGAGAAAGAGTCCCCTCACTATCTCTCTATACTTTCTGATATTAATCTTAGACTAATTAGCTTTAGCTTAGCGAGGTTTATATTCTATTTAACCAAAATTCCAGAACCACCTTCTTAATACTTGCTTTCGATGTTGGTGCAAGTTCAACAATCTTTCTCCACTTTTTACAGTCTAATTTGTAAGATGTAAGGTTAATTTAAGCTCTAATTTAGTAGGGCCACCTCTATTTTCTTTTCCTGTTTGAGTCTTTTCTTGTTTCAGTTCCAAGATCTTGTTTTTTTTTTTTTTTTTTTTTTACCTTCTTCTCTCATCACTCACCTTCTTACCTTGGTAATAAGGTTGAATTTAGTGAGATGGGTTGGTGTGTTAAGCACCCAAATATATCAAAATCATACAAAAAATATAAAAATAAAGAATATATTAATATTAAGTTAGTGATTATATTTTTATTAAGCTTTGCTCTTGGATTAGCTAGGCACTGTAAAGTGAATTAGGGCTGAGAAAATTACAAAAAGATCCATATAATTAGGGACAACCATAAATTAGAACACGAAGATAGGTAATGTAAACGCACTTTTCATTTATTTTTTGGGAAAATCTACAGTACCCTTTAAAAAAACGGAGGCTGAGATTACGGCCAAGTACATAATATCTATAAGATATCAGATTTTAATGGAACTGAGAGGGCGAGATCATAAGGTCATAGGGAGGATGCCAAGCACTCTGACCTATACTCCTCCTCCCCATAGGGATTCTTCTTCCTCCAAGCTTTCTTCTTCTCCGGCTTTCTCCTCAGCGGGACATCATGGTAGTAACACCATACTCTTCACCCACCCACCTCATCAAACCCTAGACAGATCAAGAAGAGATCCTGACCCAAACCCAGATCTAGTTCCATCTCCAGTTGTTGTCACCCCAAGTGCAACAGCAACAATTGCTAGTGGATCAAATTTCAAAGCACCACCAGCTCCACCGCCACCGCCGCCAAGTGCAGCAGCATCAAGAATTAGGTATAGGGAGTGTTTGAAAAACCACGCTGCCAACAGCGGCGGCCACGTGCTCGATGGGTGCGGAGAGTTCATGCCGAGCGGAGATGAAGACACTGCGGGAGCACTAAAATGCGCAGCTTGCGAGTGTCATAGAAATTTTCACAGAAAAGAGATCGATGGCGAATATGTGTCAAATAATTACTATGTCCTAAACCACCAACAACAAAACAGCCGTAGAGACTCGGCGCTTACAAGATTGCCGGTGCTAGCCTCCCCACCACGGGCGCTTCCTGTTTATCATTCTACGGCTGGAGGGCCCAGTCAGCCGATGATGATGACCTTCGGCGGCGGTGGTGGGGTGGTTGCGGAGTCATCGAGTGAGGATCTCAACATGTACAATAAATTGTTTCGCGGTGCAAATTATGCGGAGGAGGCACAAGGTTCGAAGAAGCGGTTTAGGACGAAGTTCAGTCAAGAGCAGAAGGAGAAGATGACGGATGTGGCGGAGAAGTTGGGGTGGAGGATCCAGAAGCATGATGAGCAAGAAGTGCAGAAGTTGTGTTCTGAAGTGGGTATAAAGAGGCAGGTGTTCAAGGTATGGATGCACAATAACAAAAAAGTCATGAAGAAGAAGCAAATGTAAGTCAATTAAAACTTCACAATAATTGATGTTTAATTGGAAAGAAGTCCTTGAGATATAATTAATTGGTTTGTAACTGGGAATTAATAGATAATTTTAGTGACTACTTAGATCAGGAATATTTGCATATATATACTAGAGATATGGAGGAGGTAGATAATAATCTCACTTCCATCTAGCTATTTTTTTTTCTTCATTTATCTTGTTGGATGTGCTGTTTGGTTGCTTTCAGAAACATCGTAAATAATACCAACAAATTTTCTTGTGCTCAGAAATGCTCTCGCATGCAACTTTTCTTTTTTTATTTTCATCAATAGCTTGAGCTTTTCACTAGGGTAAGTTGTAAAAGGAAGAAAAAAAAGGAAAGGAAATGGGGAATGAGAAACCAGTTTTTTGTCGTGGTGCTAATACTTGGGCACCTATTTGATAATTATTTCGTTTTTTATTTTTAGTTTTCACTTTTGTGCTGGAGATATGTGGAAAAAAAGGATGATGCTAAAGAGAAGAAAAAATAAAGAACGAATCAAAACAAAATCTCTAAAGTGAAAACAATTTCAAATAGTTATTTTTGTCGTAGCTTTCATTTTTGTTCGTTTTTCCCTACAAGTTTCTTCTACATCTATCCGGACATCCGTCATCTACTTCTGTGTTTCAATAATCTTTTTCTTTTCATGAACTTCTGTGTATCAGTCACTTTTATTTTCCATGTACTTCTCCATCTATAAACGATTATCAAACAAGCTCTTAAATCTCTTATGTTTTTATCAAACATGGTGAAGATTAAGTGACATGGCGAGGAGGAAAGGGTTTTTTTTTTTTTTTTTTTTTGCAACGATTACATCTACTGCTAGGCAAAGATTATTATTCAACATAAATTGTATTTATATAGCAAACTTTATTTTAGATTAAGTTTTTTTAGAAACTTAAATTCATATTAAACTAGGTGACATGTCCACATGGGCTGCCACATCAGGTTCTTATCATATCGTCGCACATCTCCTAGTATCTTTCTTATACTTCGACGCAACCAAAGATATACGCTAACCCGTTGTCCATTCGAATTACAATACATCACTTAGTAATACAAAATTTATATACTCAAAAACCTTCCCTAGAAAGACTCAAACCATCCTCAGAGTATAAAAGACCTATCAGACGCTCATCTGATTAAAGTATTTATTTTAACATCTGAAATCATGCGCTCGAAACTTCCCTCTTCGCATCATTTGTATAAGAAAAAGAACCTTATTCAATATTGCTGTTACGCAAAAATACGTACATGCATGTGTACTATAAACTATTCATTCCAAGTCAGTAACTACAGGGAGCAATATTCAAACTTAAACTTGAGTGAACAGATGGAAACACACACTGATCTAACCAATTGCGTCACATCCTGGACTTAGAATAATCTATGTTGAGAGTATGAATATTCCTACATTCAAGAGAGAGTCAACATTGCATGTTTATAAGGAAAATCTACATGATATATAAAAACACAAAACTCAAGTTCCTTGTATACATACAGGATTCAAAATTGATTTTAGAAGTTTACACGTACTCGACAAGGCAGAGTATGGGAAAACAAGAAACATATATATAACACACCACAAAACTCCCAGCATTTTCCTAGCTACTGAGAAAAAACATATATATTGATCACAGATTATGGACCTAACATGCACTCAGCCAGCGGAAAATGAATTAATTCCTTAATTACTGGCCCGAACCTGCATTGCTCATTGTAGCCCCGAGATCACCAGCAGCTTGTGAGGCGGACTCCTTGGCGGCCTCATAGTTATGCCTTGCACTTGAAGTCATACTATCCTTAGCCGACACGTACGAATCCCCAACCTTTTGTTTGGCTTCATCATATGCATCCGCTGCTCTTTCCCTTCCGTAATCAATTCCTCCCTTGGCAGCCTCATAGTTATCTTTGGCATGCGAAGTCATACCATCCTTAGCAGACACGTACGACTCCCCAACCTTTTGTTTAGCTTCATCATATGAATTCGCTGCTCTTTCCCTTCCATAATCAATTCCTCCTGCCACCTTTTCTTTGGCATCGTAGGCCTTAGCAGACGCGTATGACTCCCCAACCTTTTGTTTCGCTTCGTCATATGAATTCTTTGCTCTTTCCCTTCCATAATCAACTCCTCCCGCCACCTTTTCCTTGGCATCGTAGGCCTTATCCGAGGCCCTGTTCATTGTCTCTTTGGCTCCATCATATGCATTGGCAGTTTTTTCTTTACCATATTCCATTGCATCATTAGCCATGTTAGACGTCATATCCACTGCCCGATTCACTGTATTCTTTGCTTCACCATAGGCATTCGCTGCTTTTTCCACTCCGGAACCCATTGCCCCTTTCACAATCTCTTTGGCATTGTCAAGTCTGTCGCTATTATATGCATTGGAAGCTGTTTCTTTTCCATACTCCACCGCATCATTAGCCTTATCAGAAGCCGTGTCCATAGCCCTATTCATTGTATTCTTTGCTTCGCCATAGGCATTCGTGGCTTTGTCCATTCCCGAACCTACCACCCCTCTCACTGTCTCTTTGGCTTTCTCAACTCTATCAGTGTTATAAGCATCGGAGGCACTTTCTTTTCCATACTCCATTGCATCATTAGCCTTATCAGAAACCGCACCCATAGCGCTATTCATTGTATTTTTTGCATCACCATAGGCATTCTCTGCTCTGTCCATTCCGGAACCCACGGCCCCTTTTACTGTCTCTTTCGCATTGTCAACTTTGTCGGTATTATATGCATTGGCAGCTGTTTCTTTTCCATACTCCACTGCATCACGAGCCTTATCAGAAGCCGCACCCACAACATTATTCACTGTATCCTTTGCTTCACCATAGGCATTTGCTGCTCTCTCCATTCCACAATCCATTGTCCCTCTCACCGTCTCTTTGGCATTGTCAACCTTATCGGTAGGCATTCTTATAGATGAATCAAAGCTGTCATGACCAAACTTGCCTGCATCCGCTGCCATTTGGGAATCAGGAACAAAACAGTATGATGATCCGTTTAGGGAGAACACAAAATAAAACCCAGAAGCATGAAATCAATTATACTTTTTTGAAGACCTAATTATTTACTTATTAAGCACTTCATCTGAAAAAGAATTAAGGTAAATTGATAATTACGTGTTCCAAATGTGCTTGTTTTTAATCTATCTGTGGCCGTAGACGCTGCATCTCCAGCTTTCTCCATCGCATTGTTAGCAGCATCTTTTGCATTATCCTGGCTAAATCCAAGACCCCTGGACAGCACCATACCACACAACTTATCAATGATCAACAACCATTAACACGTTTACACAGCATACTATAGAGCATCGAACCCAAAATCTCAGAGCTTAAGCTGTTAGCAAAGAGGCCTAATGGATCAATATACCTGTTATATTATACACACTTGGCATAAATTTAAGACATAGTCTTATATATACACATACTAGAGGGCGAGCCTTAGTGCAATGAAAAGGTTGCTTTTTTGTGACTGAAAGGTAACGAATTCGAGTCGTGAAAACAGTCTCTTTACAAAGCAAGAGTCAGGCCGCATACGACAAAAGTTCTCCAACTCCCCGGGCCTCCTCCAGGACCCTCACAAAGCGGGGAGCCTTGTTGGCTTGGGGTCGCCCTTTTTAGTCTTACATATATACTAAACACTTATCCTAAGAACCATCAAAACGGACTGATAGACCAACCTCATGCATTTGGGGAAGTAAATTCTCGGATACATATGTCACCATATCTGAACAGCAATATAAAAACAAGGGCTTTTGAAACATCACATTTTGAAAACCCTTCAAACTGATGATCTACACCACAGGGAAAAAAAATATAAAAACTGGTTTTGTATGGGGGAAAGGCAACATAAGAATTTCACAAATCAATTGAGCCCTTGAGGTAGTTTTGTATAAAACTTAACATTGTCGAAGTGTGTATACATATGCACCTATATCTGTATATTTGTGTACCTATACATATGAACCTATATATATGCACCTATATATCTTACTTAGGTAAGTCGAAATACCCCTATACATAGGTGCATTTGTATCGGTACATAAAATATATATGTTCATGTATAGATTCATATGTATAGGATTGTTTCTCCTACTTATGTTTGGAGGGTGTCTCTCAACTTTGTTTGAGGTTTGTTTTTATAGAAGCATAAAATCTAATAGCACATTTTAAATATTTACGGGTATTAAAGTTTTTCTTAAAATTTTATTATCATTAAAGGGAAGGGTGAGGTTTCGAACGTGGGACGCATGGGTGGAAACCCAATACCCTAAAAATGCTCAAAAACAAAACAAAACAAAAGTCAATAACTATTAGCTAGATTTAAGTGGAATGTAGAAAAATGATGAGATGGATATAAAGTCAAAGAACAAAATCAATATCCAATCTCACACCCAACTTTAATGAAAAATTGGCCTTATTTAAGGAATATAATCCAATTTTCTGTAATTAGTGAGACAGTATTAGCATAGAAAAATAAGCAGATTAATTAATGTAAAAGGGCGTTCAAAAGTAAAACGTGCAAACACAAAGGGAATGGTGCATAAATAAAAGGGTTATACCCAATGCAAATCTTTGCAAACTTTCAATAAAAAAAAAAGTAGAACAACACTAAACATACATCACTTTGGTATTCCTTTAAGGATGACACTTGTGAGTTGAGTAATTCCTCATAAAATAATAACTACATTTTACCGTACAAACGTAGTAACAAAAATGATTCATTCTCCTTATCATCTGAAAATCATCTTGATTTGAAGACTGTTTACTCTCATTGGTAGGGATGGAACGAATAATACCAACAATTAACATTCTCACTTTGTTGCATCCATAGAAATTATGACTAAACAGTCTGTAAATCAAATAAATTGCTAAAATTTTGATAATACTAAAGAGCATGAACAGTTATTATCATATCTTTTGAACATTAAAATGATGCGACATCGTGACAGAAAGTAATGATTTCTTTGAAAAGTCTTCTTAACGTGTTAATATCCTTCGAGTTTCATTTCTTCTTAATAGTTTGTGACGAGTTTCATTTCTTCTTAATAGTTTGTGACCATTTTCATTTGTGTATGTCTGGCTAAATAAATGGCATGAGGAAGGGAATTAAAAGTTGAAAACAAAAAAAGAAAATGATTACTCTGCGATTTTGTTGAAGGCCCGATCAAACCACGATTCGGTGGTTTCCTTAGCATTCCCAGCTGCCAAGTTCAAGTTTTCCCTGGCATTGTCCACAGCAGAATCCTCGCTCCAACTTCCGGCCGCCATACTCAGCCACAGTACCGCCGCCATTAAAAACACCGTCTTCTTCCCCATGATCAATCTTTTTTCTTTCTTTTTTACCGGATTTTCACTCCTGAGCACTGGATATATGTCGGGTTGGTAAGAATATTTCGAAATGTTGCTGGACGCATGAGAGTTTTGAAGAGCGAGCTCATTGCAATTGCATACAGACGAGGTGCATGTAAATATGCGTCTGAGAATTGCTGCTTATTCTTCGACTGTTGGAGAAATTAAGTCGGAGAGAGAAGTTTGGGCGTCCATCGATCAGACAGGTTTTCAACGTGACGCGTTTCGGATCAACGTGGCAGTTATTCAGACCGTTATGAAAGGTGGAAGGAGGTCGTGCCGCTGCCTTCCCTACACGTGTTGCTTTGTCAAGCCTGTGTTGGCCGCATTTCACGCGCTCAATTTAGGAAAATATTATGACCAGTTGACCACATTTTTAATCGAGTTATTCATTTATTTGTTTAATTTTATTTCTATACAAAAATATTCAATTTCAATTATACCATTGATACTAGCAGATACTTAGTATGTGTGCGAATAATTTTATTTTATTTCATTTGTTTAATTGAGAAGCTTGATTAGTTTTTAAAGTTAAAAAAATCAGTATGAAAAATGTGACAATGATGGAGCAGTTTCTTTTAACGTGGACATAATTTTTATTTTTTATTTTTCAATAGGACATGTTATGTTTACATGGGTGTGTGGTTGGTGTAAAAAGCAATAAAATTTATGTTGCATGCAATTCTAAGTTGCCAATGCTTTTTATTTTTGTCAGTTTTGATTAGACCTGGCATTCGTGTCGTGTTGCCCGTGTTCGTGTCATACCCGATATCTTAACGGGTCGTGTCGTGTAACACCCGTTAAAATAAACGGGTAAAATGACCCGACCCGAAATCGACCCGATAATATTAACGGGTAATATGACCCGACCCGTTACCTGTTAAGGAAAATATATTTTAAACTAATAAATAATTAAATAAAAAAACATAATACTTTTTTGCGTGAAAAAAAGGTTGCAGTTGCACGCCCAAACTAATAACCCTAAACTGACACACCCCGACACAGAAAGTCCACTTGGACCCTGAATCGAGCTGTGCTGGCCGACACCTGGAAGGTGACGAAGCCATAAAATGTGATAGTGCATAAAAAGTGAATAAATTTGAATCTAAAAGTGTCTAAGTACCAGAGTGCGCTACGAGTGGGAGCGAACCCATTTCACACGCGACGTCAGAGCATAAGTAAGGTGCAGTAATGTGGGTAAGAATCATACCCTCAAAAATATCCATCAATACTAAGATTCGCCATAGATTCTTGTCGATACAAACTCAGCAGCTAAAACCTGGAGGGCACCAAACAGAAGGTGTGAGTAAGCAATAAAACCAAGCTTCCCAAAGTTACCACCTCTCAAAAAGTAATGCCCCTAAATGTAAAACCCGTATCGTTTTCCATAAGACAATACAACATATATACATATATCCAAACCATACTCGGAAATGACCAAAACCACGGTTTGCCATCACATCCACCATACATTAATAAGTAGGCCAAATGAACTAAATCAATACAAAGTGATATATCAGTCAGAGTCAGCTAAAATGACATGTACAACTTATCCGTATCTCATCAATCATGGCTAGCATATAAGTCGGAGTCACCTATAGTGACCTGTACGACTTATCCATATCTCGTCAATCCTGGCTAGCATATAAGTCGGAGTCACCTATATTGACCTGTACGACTTATCTATATCTCGTCAATCCTGGCTAGCCAATATCTCAATAAGTATACCTGCACACGAGTCGGAACCACCTAAAGTGGTCTGTACGACAGGCCTAGGTGTAATACATATAAACGCTCTAGTGCTACGATCACGTGAAGGTTGTACGAATAATCGCGGGTCACCTACGAGTCGGAACCACCTAAAGTGGTCTGTACGACAGGACTGTGCACCTACTTTGGATCCAAGGTGAACGTAAGGTGCGGGAGGTGAACATCACGTGAAGGACTGTGCCCTGGCCACGGGCGGGAGCACTAACACCGAGGTGCAGGTTTATGAGCTCCCAATGCAACTCAATATAACATGTGCGACTCATGGCAACCAGTACGACCGTATCGAAGTTGCCTAACTCATAACTGTAGTCATGCTATAACGCAAGCGATCCAAGTACTACCATAAACTCACCTGAACTTACCTGGGTGTCCTGAGTTCACCTTTGCACTTGAAAGCATTCCCAATAATTATATGCAAGTAATATACATATGGATATATCATGATGCAATCTACTACTCAACCATGTCGTAGCATTTTCAATTATAAACAATATAGTGTGAAGTGTACAATCAATAACGCCCTACTCCCAAACTACTTATTTTCAAGGATAATTATTCATGACAACCCAATTAACACTAATTTAACTAACTAATTCATAAAACTAAAACTTGCCTTAACCAATTTCCTTCGCATTACTCAATTTCCCAAGCAAGGCTTTTGTCTCAAATATTTTATGGCTGCATCTAACGTCTCGTTAGACTGCCTACGTACCCTAAACAGGGATCAAGCCATTCGTAGTTCACATAGTACTTCAAGCATTCACAATAATTATATATGAAAGTAATATGCCTAATCAATTTAAAGGTGTCGATAGAATTCTCAATAATATGTACGATAAAAAGGAAAAGATGCACTCACCTGAAGTCCACGCTATGATTCTCTAGCGCACGCATCGAGGCGTCCTGAATGATTGGTCCCTGTGACCAATTATCAAATCACATCTCAGAACTCTTATCCGTAGAATATGTAATTCACATAAAACACAACCTCAACGACATTCTAAAATAGTTTGAGACCCATTGACCACAAGTCAACCGTCGATCAAAGATCGACGGTAGGGTTTACAACCCTGTATAACATGACCCGGAAGATCCGCATATCAGATTTCCAATC